CTGGATCTCTGCCAGATTCTGGAATCTTCTCTGTTTGATAATCCGCTGAAGTCCACAGTCATCTCTTTTGCTGGTGCATCTTCTCCTGTCACATTTTGCCCTTCTACTAGACTTTCCATTGATATGCTTGGACACAGCACTCTGTGAACAGCCAGCCTCCTTAGCTATGAACTTTTGTTGCTTCCCCATCCTGTGGAGGATATCAATGATGATCTTCTGGCCAGTTATGTCTGCAGTCTTCCCCATATTGAACCAAACTGAGACAATTGAACCTAACTGAAACAATTTAAGGACACCTGGGGAAACCTGTGCAGGTGCTTTGAGTTTAGTAGATGATTAGTGTCACACTCAGTTTAAAATATTCATGTCCTGCAACATTTGGGCTGATTTCTCCACAGTATTCTACTTTTTTTTTTTTTTTATCCCGTTTTCGTGGGTTTCATGAGCTGGAAGCCCAAATTATGTACAAAATAAACAAATAAATACTTGAACTCGTTTAAATTTTGGGCCCTGAATCTATCATCTATTAAATATTAACTTTTTGAATGGAATTATGGAAGTTAACAGTTTACAGTATATATATAAACTGTTAAAGTTATGGTTAAAGTCTTGGTTCCATTGACAAATTAGCTTTCTTGACTTAGTGCAAAGTACAGCAGCTTTTCTACTGCATTTGGAGACTTTTGTTGCTAATATATATATATATATATATATATATATATATATAGTGTTAAATGTCTGATACATTTTATCTGTAAAATAAAAATATGAAATAAACCATCACTCCTCTTTTTATTTATGTTCAATTTTAAATGTTAAAGTGAGTTTGGAACATTTAGGTTTAATAAACATGGGAATATTTGTAAAGGAAGTTCCACTCTGCTTCATTATTTCACAGTGCTGCCTCTGAATACTGGTTTTAGTGAGTCGGGTTTAGGCAGTCTGACAAGTCTGGGAAGGGCTTTTAGTTTATTAATGTCTTGAGGCTCTTCTGACTCAGGTACTGTAAATCACTGGTCTTTGTGTATCTAATCTATTCTTTACATGGGCACCAGCACAATATCAGATTGTACTTTCCACGAGGACATTAAAGAAACAAAGAAAAGTTATAGGACTATGATGAGATGTAAAAAGGTTCCAAACTATAACCAAATCAATACCAAATAAAAACATGAGCTAAAACGTGTGTTTTAATGTTGCTTCAGGGAACAAAAAGTCATTGTATACAATATAATAAAGATTCATGCAGCAGCTAAAGAGGTGTGTTACATGTCTGACTATAACAGGCATCCCTAATATTACATGTTTACGCCTACGTTGAGACATGTAGTTTTGCTACAGACACGTCGACTTAAAGAGCCAACAAAGTCTGGAACTGATTGAATGAGATAGCAATTGACAGAAGTGTAAATACTGAATTTATTACAGCAGCTACAGTTATTTTCAAAGCAGTTATATTGGATGTAGAAGTTGTGCTGCATTCCATTTACCCTGGAAGTCATAACTCAAGACCAGTCCTACTTGAAAGCCAATTCAAGTTCCTTCATTCCTTCCATTATCTTTTACCTGCTCCTTCCTTTTTGGGTTGCCGGGGTCACTGGTGCCCATATCCAGCAGTCACTGTGCGATGTGGGGGTACACCCTGGACAGGTCTCCAGTCCATCACAGGGACACAGAGACAAACAACCATTCACTCACTCTAACACCTATGGATCAGTCTAACATGCATGTTTTTGATCTGTGGGAGGAAACCAGAGAAAACCCACGCATGTACAGAGAGAACATGCACACTCCACCCAGAAAGGCCTTCGACCGGGATTTGAACCAGGGTAACCTGCTTGCTGAGAGGCGGCAGCTCTACCAACTGAGCCACCGTGCTGCCCAGGTTTGCTAGAAAGATGAAGATCAGGGTGCAGACATCAGCGTAACAGGCTGGATGTGATAAACCTGTGTGTGTGTGTTGGTGGTGGGGGGGGGGGGGGGGGGGGGTATATAACCTACTATTTTTATGCCTCTTGATTTCTTTTGAAAACAGACGGCCTGAATGATGAACATGAGTCTGTGCATCCAGTAGATGAGAATGAAGATGATGATGATAATTTATCAAAGGAAGATGCTCCACCTTCCCCTGGGTGGAGAACATCCCACAGTTCCAACGTCACTGATAAGGGCAGGCCTTGCCTTAAAAATCAGACACCATCATGTCCTCCTACACATAGTTCTATGATTTTATCTGAAGACATTCTGGAAGTACAGCACATCTCTAACCACATGGTTGAGAATAAAATTCTGACGGCTGAGACAAAACAAACCAAAACACTCGATGAAATTATCCTGACGCATGCTCAATAATCCAGGTAGAAACATCTAAGAAAGTTAAGTCAGGTCCTCTGGACAGATTCAAAAAAGTAAAAACAAAACCCCGGATTAAAGACGAAACATTTCAACAAGTAGGTTTTTTTTTTTATCCGTCAAGAGGACCTGACTTAAATTTGTTAGACTAGATGAAAATGTTGTTATTGAAATAAAACTTCCTCTCATGTATTTATTTCTTGTTTGTTCCTCATTCCATTTTTATACAATAGAAACTATACTTTTATATGTTGTTGCCCTGAGGCTGGGGTCTGCGACCTGCAGCGCTGGAGCCACATGTGGCTCTTTGCTGCCTCTGCAGCAGCTCTTTGGTTCCTCTGCAGCGGCTCTTTGCTCCCTCTGCAGCAGCTCTTTGGTCCCTCTGCAGCGGCTCTTTGGTCCCTCTGCAGCAGCTCTGCTCCCTCTGCAGCAGCTCTTTGGTCCCTCTGCAGCAACTCTTTGGTCCCTCTGCAGCTGCTTTTTGGTTCCTCTGCAGCTGCTCTTTGGTTCCTCTGCAGCTGCTTTTTGGTTCCTCTGCAGCTGCTCTTTGGTCCCTCTGCAGCAGCTCTTTGGTTCCTCTGCAGCGGCTCTTTGGTCCCTCTGCAGCAGCTCTTTGCTCCCTCTGCAGCAGCTCTTTGGTCCCTCTGCAGCTGCTTTTTGGTTCCTCTGCAGCTGCTTTTTGGTTCCTCTGCAGCTGCTTTTTGGTTCCTCTGCAGCAGCTCTTTGGTCCCTCTGCAGCGACTCTTTGGTTCCTCTGCAGCTGCTCTTTGGTTCCTCTGCAGCGACTCTTTGGTCCCTCTGCAGTGACTCTTTGGTTCCTCTGCAGCTGCTCTTTGGTTCCTCTGCAGCTGCTTTTTGGTTCCTCTGCAGCTGCTCTTTGGTCCCTCTGCAGCAGCTCTTTGGT